ATCACTGTGATTGTTACTTTCCACAATAATTAGTTGACACAACAAAACACACTTTTCAGCTTTTCATGCTTTTTGAAACTCTGCTTTTTGGAGATCTGTGATGTAAATTCTGTCTCTAAAGCACACAAAAAGGTTTGGACATTGTTCATAGTGCATGTTTGAGGTTCATTTTTCCAAAGAAATTGTTGGAGCTATTTATTCTTCAGTTTTGTTATTCTGAAATTTGTTGGGTTTGTTGTTGGTTTGTTTATATTTTTGGGTTGTTTACAAGTTTATTTGTAGGTTAATTTTTGCTTCATTTTTGTTTTGTTTTGTTGTTTATCTTGTTAAGTCAGCCAGGAAGAACTGTAAGGTATTTTATATATATATATATATAAATAAAGGGACTGGTATAGGACCAGAATGCACTGGGGTGGGCCTATGGTTTTTTACCAGAGCAGGAGGAGCAGTGGGGAGGAACAAAGATGGATCTTTATTATTGCTTTCCAAACTGGAAAAATAAACAATAAAATGCAACTTTCGAGTTTGATAGTTGGACTTCTTTTGCCTGCGTACAAAACATTACCACAGTGCAGCAGTGGCTTGTGAATTTTAAACTGTAGGATTTTGGTTGGACAAAGGGAATCCCCACTACAGAAATAATTAACACAGTTCAGCGGCTACATACTGAACTTGAAGGATAAAAGCAAAGTATCAATCCAGTCATGCTAGTATTGATCCGTAACCAATACTAGTGTTGGTATCAATACTATCGATATTTGGATCGATTCGCCCACCTCTCTCAGTGACAGCTGTGAGCGTTTTCTTGACTCATGCAGGGCCTCCCCATGTTTCTCCTCCACTTAATCTACACTCCAATCAAAGGAGTGCAGACAACACCAGCTCATCCCACATTCACTTTGTTGCCGCCTATAAGGAGGTGTTTTTGCGAGATTAGATTAACGTCACATGATCATATTAAACAGAGACACGTCTAGAAAAACCTCAGGACAGTCTGGTGTTTAGTTTCTCACACGAAGGATTTTGTTGGACTGATGACGGCTGCAGAGTTTCAGAGGATGGAAAGTAAATCTAGAATCAGGATCTGTGTCGGCTGCTCAGGATCCAGCTTAGCGTGTTTGTCTGATCCTGCAGCTCACAGGAAGTTGCTCCACCTACAGCAGCATAGATAAACTGTGCATTGATGTCTCTGCAGGCAGGACGTAGATGTGCTAATGGGAGAAAATGAATTCTGTTTTTTCCCAGTGTCTTTCTGTAAAAACTACATTGTTAATGATGACTGGTTTTAAAAATCTTCCACTGAGACAAAAGCAGCCATAAATCTATATGTTGATCACGTCTCTGTGTCAGTGTAAGACTTTAGTACAGTCTCTCTCTGGTTCACTGCAGTCTTTGTCTCTGTGTTTCTGTCAGGTTTTCACGTTGTCCAGTGGATGTACGGCTGTGAATGGGATGAAGAAACAGATAAAGTGAATGGATATCAGCAGTTTGGTTATGATGGAGAGGATTTCATAATCTTTGACCTGAAGGAACAGACGTGGGTCACTGCAAAACAACAGGCTGTCATCACCAAACAGAAGTGGGATCATGACTGGGCTCTGACTACTCAGAAAAAGAACTACCTCACCCAGATTTGTCCTGAGGGGTTGAAGAAGTATGTGAACTATGGGAGGAGCTCTCTGATGAAAACAGGTAAAATCTATGCCCAGAATTAGATTGTTAACCAAAAGTTATATGTGTCACAATCTGGTAGAAGGAACTCTGGCGCAGAGCGGTTGACGTCTCCAAAAACAGTATATTTACAGCACCAGTGCACGATATATACAGTGAAGGGAATCCAAACTCCAGGGAATCACGGGGTAGCTCTCTCACACTCGCTCACTTCTTCGTGCCCACACTCACACACGTTCACACTGCAGGGAGGTCACAGGTCCGGGGAGGAAAGTCTATAGTAGAAGAAAAGGGAAGTCACACACCAATCACTGTGAGAAACACTAACGTCTGTAGTACAATCATCCAGCGACGAGAGGATCTGTGTTCCAGCCTCAAATAGTGCTCCAGGTGATGACAGGTGACTGTTGTCAGGTGTGTGGGCCAAGGGCGGGAGCCCACAGTGAGCTCTGCCCAGGCAGAGAGAGAGAGAGAGGGCCAAAACAGCACATGTAGCCTTGTGGGGCCGGCCGGGCAGGCACGGAGACCCCGACTTATGAATTTGACAAATGAATAATTAATATACACTGTGTAAAAACGATAACATAACAAAAATATATTTTTTAAATATATTTTAAAAATATTTTATAACAGTATAACAATATATGTAACAACTATAACAACTATAACCCTGCAAGGCATGGAGTGACTCATCAGTGTCCAATGTAGTGGTTTATGTGCAAGTTTACCATCAACACTGACACAAATACAAGAAAACAGCCTTTGAATAGTTGTCCACTGTAGTGACCACTATGCGTGAAAGGGTTAATATAATTGCACTTTGCGTGGCCTTTTGACACATTTTTTAAATTTAATATAATTTTATAAACTACATCACATCAAAAGAAATTGGTATGGTTTTAATAATAATAATAATAATAATAATAATAATCTTTTAAAGTTGCTCCTGGTCGCCACAGCAGATCATCTTCCACAGTTTTAGCTCTGATATACTCATTTCTAATCCTTCTCACTCCTTATGATAATTTTAATATCATCAGTTCTGTCTCCTGTATTTGTCTCAGTGCCACCATCCTCAGATATTAAATCACAGCAGGTCTCACTGCCATCTTGTAAACCTTCCTTTCCACTCTTGATCGTCTCCATCCACTCCACCTTGTCTACACTCTCTTCTTCACGTCTCGTCTGCACTATGCACCTCTCCAGCTCAAATAAAAGTAATAGTAATAATACAGAAAGAATAAACTGTTTGTCTTTACTCCACAGATGTCCCCAAAGTGTCTCTCCTCCAGAAGTCTTCCTCCTCTCCAGTCACCTGCCACGCTACAGGTTTCTATCCTAACAGAGCCGAGATGTTCTGGAGAAAAGATGGAGTGGAGTTTCATGAGGGTGTGAACAAAGGAGAGATTCTCACCAACAATGACGGGACCTTCCAGATGAGTGTTGACCTGGATGTCTCATCAGTCACACCTGAAGACTGGGACAGATACAGATGTGTGTTTCAGCTCTCTGGTGTGAACGAGGACATCGTCACCAGACTGGACAAATCAGAGATCAGGACCAATGAAGGTGAGTCTGGAATCAGAAGTGATTAAAGTGAAAAATATCAATTTTAAGAGTCCTGCAGTTCATGTGGTTTTATCTGTTAAGTTCCTCTTCAGTCTGTAACACTGATATATTATACAAACATACATGGATCATCGTGTGAGTTCTTCCTTACTTCCTAAAAATATTTTTCCCCATTAAATGTTTTGAAAATGCTGTAAAGCAGATATTTTTTATCTAGCATAGCTCTTTATTAATAATAATAATAATAATAATGGATTGGATTTATATAGCGCTTTATTGCTGTCCATTCACTGTTTACTGAGCTTTGATGAATACAGATCCTCATCAACATGCTTTTTTTGTTGAGCTTTGTATTGAAATATTTCTTTACTTTGTGCTTATAGAGACAAAGTTTGCAAGCCTGTGATATGCTAAAGTGGATTCTGTGTTTGTCGTGCAGCTGCTGGTCTTTTATTTTCTTAATATTTTTTCCATTATTTTTATCTAGGTGAAACTGATTATTCTCTTTACTGCCTCAGTTTGATTTGTTTGTTGTTGTTGATCTACAGGAAATAATCTCACCATCATCATCGCCATTTTTGCTGTGGTTCTTGTCCTCGGCGCTGTGACTGGATTCATTGTCTACAAAAAGAAAACAAGTGAGAGAAAAACAAAAAAAATCATTTTTAGTTAATGCTCTTATACAAAAGTGTATAAGCAGCACAGACACAGTGTCATGGAAATATGAATTACATTATAATACAACAAAAGAAATGCATGAAATATTATAACTATGAGAGTTTAAATTATCTTTATTTTCTCTTTTATTTCAGGCAAATGCTTCTTACAGCCTCGTGAGTAAAACTAGTGTCTGTTTTCTCTTATATCTTAAACATTCTGTAGATCACAAAGTATTTTTCTGTATTTTATGGTAAATAACTTTTTCAGGTTTCTGAACAAGTGTCAGTTCAGACAGGATGTGGACTAACAATGTGTTTCTGAACTTTTACAGCTATGAAGGATCCTGCGGTTACGGCGCCACTGAATCCTGCTCCAACAGTCTAAATGACAAACAACCTTCCACACAGTGAGTTACTTCACTTTAAACAAAGCTGTTAAACCGTTTCGTTATTTCTGTAAACTGCTGCAACACATTGTAGCTGCACCAACACTTTCAGTTACTTTTCATCAAAAGTGTCTAAAAGTCAAATTATAGTAAGTTATATTATTAAAAGCACTTGCACACAAACACTTTTTTCTGAAAAATTCACATCTGTTTGTCAGTTAAACTTTAAAGTTTTATCAAGTACAAACGGTGACAACACAACATTAATGAACTATTTATTAACTAATGTATAATAAAACTGTGCCAGATTAAAACAAATGTTTATGCTCACAAAGTTTTCTAATCAAATATTTGACTGAACCAGAGTTCTTTTATGTGTAAATGATTTTTATCAGTAAATATGTAGCAGATATTTATTCTAAATCACTGTTTTAACAAAATCTTAATGTTGTTTAATTTTTGTCTGCAGGTTTATGGAGATATATTGCATTCGGGCCAACACTCCCTTCTCCACTTCAGCAGCAAGCAGGCACACCGAGGGCTCTCGCGCTCACTTTTCACGTTTCGAAAAAACCTCAGTGCAAATTATAAGTCTGTATCATGATGTCCGGTGTTTTCATGTTTGTTAAATAAATGGTAAATGGCCTGTATTTGTATAGCACTTTACTAGTCCCTAAGGACCCCAAAGCGCTTTACACTACATTCAGTCATTCACCCATTCACACACATTGTTGTTTTGTTTTTATTTAGTTTTATTTTGCGAGTTGGTCATTAGATGCTGCTCCAGCCAGCCAGAGAATCCCCCGCTGCGCTGCCCTCTCCTCCCTGTGCCACAAGCAGCACGCGCACCTCGCAAACGGAGGAAGCCCTTACTCCCAGCAAATGGGCGATAGAAAACTGATCGGTGCCTATGCCATTCCCAATATGCGGTGGCAGATGTCGGGGCAGCATGAGTACGAGCAATTTTAATTTTTTAATTTTTTATTTTTTTTTGCCGATGCCCCACCATTATGCCGCCCCGGACAACCGCCCGTGTCGCCCGTATCAAAAACCGCTACTGCTCAGTGATAAAGGAATCATAATAATATATTTCTAAATCTAAATCTTGTACGTTAAATTTGATTTAAAAGACAAACTTGTGTTGAATTCCAGGAGACCTTAAAAGATTTTACTTCATATCTGATTTATTTCTTAATTAATGAAGATTATGTTTATTCTCTGTTTGATTTAAGATATGTTTTGAGTGTTTTTGATTTTAGAGTTTAGTTCATGTTGAGATTCTGGAGGGTTGTGTGGGTTATGTTTTTAACACATTGGTGGGTTTGTTTCTGTTTATATATCAGTAAAACTGCATTGCTCTTTCTCTCCTTTTTGTACTTTTGCTTTTCAATAAAGTCCCAAATAATCCAAATTTCTGTGACTTTTTCAAAAATAAAATGTACACTTGGCTAAAGTTTCATGAATCCAGCCCAAATATTAATGGATTAGCAACAATTTAACTTGATAGTAGCTCAGTAAGCTTAGGTGTAATGATGCCAGCTCCAGACCATTAAGTGTCCTTGTGACAAAAGTATTGTGTGTGTGTTGTATTGTGGTTCGATGTTTGCTTTTGTGGATGTTTATTTTTTTCATTTGGTTTACCAACACGAGACTTGACAATTTGCATATGATGAAGTAACTGACCTCACAGCCCATTGTTCATTCAGTGGACTGGTTTCAGCTATTGTGCAAATGCACTGTTTATAAGATTGGGGAAACCTGCAGTCAGCTGAGACTGAAGAAATCACCTGGATGAGTGACGAAATGTTTCTCCCACTGAAAACTACGTCCAGATGAACAGAATCAACCTTTTGGGAACACCACACTTTATAGACTTGTGCTATTACAGAATGGTCGCCTGAATCAGGTAGAGTATAAAAGGAAGCCAGCTGCTTTTAGAGGGGTTGGGTTCTTTGGCGTGTGTTGGCACGTAAACTCATACTTTATTTAATAAAGACTACCAGTTGATGGCAAAATTGAATTCCAGTCTCATGCCATTTTGTTTGAACTGACACATGACGGCCAGCCAGCTTGACGGAGTTTAAAAGAACTGTTAGTGCAGAGATTTTGAAATAATGTTTGCCAAACATTAATAATCAAGGCTTCTTAAAACCAAATGGTGTTACATCTATAGCCACTGTTTGGTGTTTTAACAGTGTAAGGCTTGAGATGCTCTCAGCCACATGTCTCAGATTATTTTAGTTGCTGATAGTTTAGCAGAAAATCTACACTGAACCCTTCAAGCTAGTAGATCCACAGTATGAATAAATATGATTGTAAACAAAAAGCAAACTGATAACAATTTAATGATTCAGATTTAGTCCTGTGAAGTTTACATATATATCACATATATAATTCATTCAGAAACAGACTTTGCACATTCAAAACATGAGAGGACAATAAGTGCTGCGAAATTATTTATATTTTGAGCTAAATGCTCCTTCATCCTACAAGAAAAACTAATTTCCATGTGCTCTGAACTCCAACGTGAGATTTAAAAGGTGTTTCTTTCAAAAATGGTAGTATTATGTTTAATGTTAGTAAAACTGTCAGGTTAGATTAGTATGTGTTTCTGAGTTTAAGGCTGAGGTCCAGGAGAAACTAAATCCAAAAGCTGAATGACAAAAAAAACAACCCTGAGCTGCACCAAAGCTTTAAAAAATCATTCTTAAAGCACTGGAAAAAGACTTTACTGATATTTTTAGTCTCTGTAAACTCTAAATTGTTCTGGCTAACAAAATCTTTTGCACCAAAAAAGCAGCTATATTAGAAATTAAAACATTTATTATAATCAAATGTATTTATTTGTACTCTGAAAGAAACTTTTTAAAATTATTTAAGAAAAAGTTTCTGTATATAAATCTACATTATGCTTAAATGTTGAAGTATCCAAAGATGATGACCTTTCCTGGAACAATATTTTAATATTTAAGGAAAATAAACTGTAAAAATTTACAAAATTAGAAAGTACTTTATATTCTGAGGTCTCATTTCTCATCTCACATGACTTAATTCAAACACTTTTCATCCACAATGTCAGGAAGTGTAATAATGTGTCAGTGCTTACTGACAAAACTCTCTGTAAAACCACTTGGTCAGTTCTGATTGGACAGGATTTTTCAGCCTGAGGTCACTATAAAAAAAGCAAAATCTGTGTCTGCGTTAGTACTACATGTAGAGCTCGCTTCTTGGTTTAACTCCATCTCATCCCAGTGTATTTCTCAGATGGAGTTAAACTGGGATTAATAAAAAATCAAACAAACAATACATGTAAATACCTGATTTTGCTGGCTGTCTAAGTTTATCTGTGGTAAAGATGTGATATTAGCTGTTAGTACAGTGGTATGCAAAAGTTTGGGCACCCCTGATAATTTCCATGATTTTTCTTCATAAATCATTGGTTGTTTGGATCAGCAATTTCAGTTAAATATATCATACAGCAGACAAACATAATTATATTTGAGAAGTGAAAAGAAGTTTATAGGATTTACAGAAAGTGTGCAATAGTTACTTAAACAAAATTGGGCAGGTGCATAAATTTGGGCACCCCAACAGAAATATTACATCAATATTAGGTAGATCCTCCTTTTGCAGAAATAACAGCCTCTAAATGCTTCCTACAGCTTCCAATGAGAGTCTGGATTCTACAAAACATCTCCAGTTCAGTCAGGTTTGATGGTTTCCCAGCATAGACAATCAGCTTTAACTCACACAATAGATTTTCAATAATATTCAGGTGTGGGGACTGAGATGGCCGTTCCAGAACATTGTACTTGTTCCTCTGCATGAATGCCTTAGTAGACTTTGAGCAGTGTTTAGGGTCGTTGTCTTGTTGAAATATCCAGCCCCGGCCAAACTTCAACTTTGTGACTGATTCTTGAACATTGTTCTCAAGAATCTGCTGATACTGACTGGAATCCATGCGACCCTCAACTTTAACAAGATTCCCAGTCCCTGCACTGGCCACACAGCCCCACAGCATGATGGAACCGTCACCACATTTTACTGTGGGTAGCTGGTGTTTCTCTTGGGATGCTGTGTTCTGTTTCCGCCATGCATACCGCCTCTTGTTATGTCTAAATAACTCAATTTTAGTTTCATCAGTCCACAGCACCTTATTCCAAAACGAAGCTGGCTTGTCCAAATGTGCTTTAGCAAACCTCAAACGACTCTGTTTGTGGCATGTGCACAGAAAAGGCTTCTTCTGCATTACTCTCCCATAACAGCATCTCCTTGTGCAAAGTGCGCTTAATAGTTGAACGATGCACAGTGACACCATCTGCAGCAAGATGATGTTGCAGGACTTTGGAGCTGGTCTGTGGGTTGACTGTGACTTTTCTCACCATCCTTTGCCTCTGCTTATCTAAGATTTTACTTGACCTGTCACTTCGGGCCTTGACTAGAACTGTGCCTGTGGTCTCCCATTTCCTCACTATGTTCCTCACAGTGGAAGCTAACAACTGAAATCTCAGAGATAGTTTTTTGTATACTTCTCCTAAACCATGATGTTGAACAATCCTTGTTTTCAGGTCATTTGAGAGTTGTTTTGAGGCTCTTCAGAGAAGATGCAAAGAGGAGAAAAACTTGCAATGGGCAGTCATAATTACCCTCTCTCATGATTGGATTCACCTGTGTATGTAGGTCAAGGGTCAATAAGCTTACCAAACAAACTATGTGTTCCAATAATCAGTGCTAAAGGTCAATCAATAAAACAATAAGGGTTCCCAAATTTATGAACCTGCCTAATTCTGTTTAAGTAACTATTGCACACTTTCTGTAAACCCTAAAAACTTCATTTCACTTCTCAAATATCATTGTGTTCTTATGCTGTATGATATATTTAACTGAAATTGCTGATCCAAACAACCAAAGATTTATGAAGAAAAATCATGGAAGTGATCAGGGATAACCAAACCTTTGCATACCACTGTATGTGACTGTCCTGGATTTCACTCTGTGTCCCACAGAGACCAGTTGTGAATAGGATGGTGCGAGTGAAGAACTTAACAGTTATGATCAGTCTATGACAGAGAAGACTATATCACTACATGCAAATACTAATAACTCAAGAACAGCAGGCCTTTGAAACTAAAACGAAGAGTGACAGTAACAAAGCTTTGTTGGAGCAGCTACTTCACCCATGAGTGGCTAAAGTATTTGGAACATGTGAGGAGTTATCTGCTAAAAATAGGTTAGATCAGATGCTGATGTACATTCATTTTGCAGATCTGCTTCATCCACTTTACAAGTACTTATAATATGTTAGTTCATTATCTGTTTTTTTAAAACACCTTTCGTGGCTTTGTCCTTAAAATAAGCAATTTGACAGAAATCACACCAGATATGATGAATCTCACATTTTATCTCAAAATATAAAGAACTCTGCAAATGTCTTGAGCTATCTGTCATTTTTAAAAAAACAAAAAACAACTTTATTAGAAATAGGTTCAAAGAGAGTCTGTATAATTCTAACAAGCTTGAAAGTGAACATTCGGTATGATCGTCTTTAACAAAGACTCCTGGGCAGCTTTCTTGTCATTTCCTTCATGAGGTCTTCAGGAAGAGTTCTCCAGACTTCTTGAAGGATGTTCAAAGCTGATTTTTCTGTTCTCTGTGAAGATATTACACAGAGACTATAGACCATAAACTATAGACAGTTTTTTAGGCACACTGCACATGATGCTAAGATATTCTGAGATGTAAGTTTTCAGCTCATAGCTCTTTGGGAATAAGAAGAAACACTTTGAAAGACTTTCTAAAAGCCTGGCGAGTTATTGATAAAGACTAGTTAAAAATGAAAACAAAGTCTGGCTCTTTGAAAGGAAAATATAAAGAAATAAGAATAAGGGGCGACTCAAGAATTTAACATAATATTGAAATTTCCTCCTAACTTTAAACTGTGTATCTGTCTCTTGTATAATTTTGTATTGTATAATAGAGTAGCTATTGTTCTTTACATTATTTACAAGGACAGTTCACCCTGCAAATTCACCCCAGGGTGAGACCATGCATGTTAGTTAGACCATGTTAGTTTGATCAGCTTGCATCCTTAATATACTGGCTACTTATTCTAGACAATATATAGAAAACTTCATGTGTATGACATATGGCTAAGAAACCACCTGCGAGCAATATTTTCAAATTGTTGAAGAAAACGCAAAATAATTCAAGGATGAGAAAAAGTGAGATGAGAAAAATTAACCCCAGCAAGAAACATGAAGAGCAGATGCTGCAACAACGCAGGATATAATCCAAGCAGCAATGATCCTCCTGTAAGTAGGAAAAACTCCACCTGCTGAGGTGACTGTCCAGCGTTTGGCTTGAAAATATTCTCAAAAGAAGTGTTAGCTTTATGTGACTATGCCATGAGGAAAGCATGAATCAAGCTTTATGCTATAACTGCCTGTAGAACAGCTGAAGCTGTTCTTAGATTTTACTGGTCTGTGTACAATCATACAAATTTAGCATTGCCAGCAGATTGTTGTCAGGTTTGTTCCTGGTCGGTGCTGGTCTGCAGTGTAATGAAAAGTCAAACTATTATTATTTTGAATAGCTTTTATATAAAGACCAACACAAAGTGGTGCACACGTGAGAAGTGGAACGAAAATCGTACATGATTCCAAACATTTTTTACAAATAAATAACTGCAAAGTGGGGTCATTTTTAGAGAGAGATCCTGCCCAACAATGATGGACCCTCCAGATTTCTGCTGATCTGGATCTTTCATCAGTCAAACCTGAGGACTGGAGGAGCTACGATTGTGTGTTTCAGCTCTGTGGTGTGAATAAGGACATCATCACCAGACTGGACAGAGCAGTGATCAGAACCAATGAAGGTCAGTCTGCACTCAGAAGTGATGAAGGTCAGAAGCACACATTTAGTTTACTGTAATATAATAGTGCATAGTAAAGGGCAGTTCATGCAGTTTCATGTGTTAAAAATAGAACAATTTTGTCAGTTTATTTCACACTTAAAGTCTAGACTGGGACATGTTTCCCATCTTGAAATAATAATGTGAACCTGCTGAAAATAAAAGTGAGTTGTATTTCCAAACTAAGAACATAAAAGGAATTTAAGACTCTTTACCAAACACTAATGCTTTTTTAGTCCAGTTATTGTGTAATTTCTATGCCCATTTCCCTTTTTTAAAAATGGCTTCCCTTCCACTGACACTATTTCTTCTGAGGCTTCGGTAAACAGTAAATGGATCAACTGAAGGTCCAGGTTAGTCTCTCTGGTCCTGTGTCAATTCTTTGCTACATTCTTTTCAATTTTTCTAAGGACATGACTTTTAACTTGATCGAAACAAATAATGTTGTTATTTACTGGATCTTTGCTGCTTTTCTGATATAAACTCTAAATACTTGCCACCTTCATTTAGGCTTTGACTGTTTCCTCCTGGCACTGCAGCATTTTTGCCCAAATTCTTAAGTATACACGTTTTTCATCACTATGTGTTTTCCTTTTGTCCATCTACCCCAATATTTTAGAAATAAATTTGTTTCTTTTTTGCTTTGGTTTATGTATTTGACAGCTTTATTGACTTTTCAGCTACCTAAGACATATTATAAGCTTATGAAACTGTTGAAAACATATTACACCTGCATCTGAAACCTATGAGTATGTTCTAGTTTAAGAGTCAGCAGTATCTGATCTGATTTGATTTGATATACCTTTATTAGTCCCACAAGGGGAAATTTCATAAGGCTGAAGAGAGAGATTTCTTCAGCTACAAATGACAAGCAGAGATTGTGAAACAAGATAAATTGCTGATTCCTTACACATTACAATATCCACCCATGTACCTGATCCAGTATATATATTATGATATATATAATACCCATATGAAGCCTGAAGGTTTCATTATTTTACCCGTAAAATAAATTAACAATCAAGCAAATAAATAAACACTTTAGTTTCACTTTGAGTCACAGCTTCAGGGGATAT